TACTATATGTATGTAAAAATATATTTTTGCATGTATGAATACGTAATTTAAAACAAGTTTGACTAATTTACGATTTAGCAAAAATCAGATTTTATATTTTGCTAAAAATTTATATTTATGATTTATTTTAGTACGAAAATTATAATTAATTTAATTCACATAAAAAAATCAAAAAAAAAAAAATAAATAATGATAAACAATTATCTTCTGTTAATCAAAAATTGAAGTGAGAGGAAAGGAGTTCTTTTAAAACTTGACGTCAAATGTATTTGTTCCAAATTAAAATAAAATTGACGATAAAAACTTTAATCATATGGAAGCATTTATTTACAGATATTGCTTTTATACTAACTAATAAATTTGCAGTAATTTTATTTTCATACTACAATTTATTCAAAGAACGATTTAAAATCATTTTAGCAATTAACATTATTTTTGCAGATATACGAATACAAATTTTAATAGGGAGACGAAAGAATGGCCTATACAAGTGGGTGAGATTTGTTTAATTTACATATCATTTGTTAATTAATTAATATTACTAATTAGTTGTTTTTAATTCCTTGATAATTAAAAATTAATTAAGTTTTTAAAAAATTGTTGTTGGCAAGAAGTCGAATTGAAGGTCGTCACTATTCTTGTACTCATTTCATATTATTTGTAGATATTACCATATACCATAAGTAAATTGACAGTAAGTAAAAAATAATATAACGTTAAAATTTCTATTACAGGAGTTTATTACGTATTACCATTCATTATAGAACAAATGCAGCCGATCTATTTCTATCATATTTTTTGCGAAAAATAGTGGAAACATTAGTTACTTACTGCTGTCATTTTCTCCTACTGGAGCATAAGGCCTCAATCACATTATTAAAAATTCTATGGTTCTACGGTTCCCTTTACTGATTATATATCTCTGATCAATGTGGATTCAAAATTTTTTTCTTTGATCAGAAGCTTTTCATTTATGAAATCTGGTAAAGTTAGGTAATTCTCTCCAATAAGTATAAGTACATAGTCTAAAGTGATTTTAAGACCTTGTTTTGAATTAAAAATTTTAAATATTTAATAAATAGTATTGTTGATAGTGACATTAGTGATATAGTGGCAATGTAAAGATATGTGAACATTAAAAAAAAAAATAGTTTAATGTGATTTTAGCTCAAAAAAAAATTTAAAAAAGTATTAGACATAACATAGTTTGTGTCAACTAGGATGCAATTAATTAAACGAAACAGAATAAGTAAAATAAGGTATATAACATAAGTTCTTTAACATATGGAAAAGTTTTTTTCAAAATTTAAAAGTATTTTGAAGATTTTTAGATTTTAAGAGGGGCGCTATGCTTCTGAATAACCCTCGCTACATGACTATACTACGAATAAAAATTCTGTATACGCGTAGCCATTTATTGCAAATTTTCTTAATTTAAGAGTTTAATTTAATATATGAGGAGATAAGATTCTGATTTAAAACAATTGAACTAATTTGGAACTTAGGGCATTAGGGGTAGAATGAAAAAATTAACAAAACTTGGAAAGCAATCTTAGCCTTGATTGTAATTTATAAAAGAATCAAAATTGGCAGTGCACGAGTCCGATTTCTGGTACTTGCAGTCTCAAAAAATTATTTACGATTAATTAAATACAAGAATTATTTCTAAGACCACTGATGATGGATATTCGGCAATACTCGAAACAGTTGTATGGTCAGCCAAAAATTCAATTAATTTAAATAATATAAAAAATAGTTTTTGTGGTTGTAGTTCTCTACTTTTCGAAAACCTCTTTATGAAAGAATTAATTTTTTTTTCTTTGTTCTGGAATAACTTTCAATATTTCCGAAATTGTTTAACTTTTTAGTTGCTTAATTTTTCTAAAAATTATTGCAAAAAACTGATTTCTAAAATAATTAAAAAATTCCGTAATAGAATTACTTAAACATTTTTATACTATATATGTAAAGATAAGATTTTTTTATCAGTATTTCATACAAATAATAACCACTTGAATCAAAAGAGCATTAATAAAAATGTTTAAATTTAGACAGTATCAGTAAACAATCCATATCAGAAAAATATATTGTATCATATTATTTTATTTACAACAATTTTGATAATTGATAATTAGATGAAGAATTTATAAGAGTTAATTATTTATTCTGAACTACAGATAAAGAGTATTGGATTTTACGCACCATTTTCGTATAGAGTACTTTTAAAACGAATTTGAAAAGTTAATATAGAAATATAATTAAATTAATTTTAATCAATTTAGTGGTTGAAGTGTTTAAATAAGTATTATGTAAATCGATTGATATGCTTAAAAACCATATAACGTTTTTTTTTTTTTGTGTCATTATACATAGTACAGTAAGGCAGAACCCCAGTAACGAGTTTTTATGGCCTGATAAGTGAATAATTGTATAGTATAAATAGTACATATATAGAATTATGTTATACTATTAATCAATATGCAGAGTTCATGCTAATAGTTATTATTAAAATAATAATATTATTATCAAAATAATAATATATAATCATATTATTAAAATTATTATATATAAAAATATTATTATTATAATAATAATATATAATAATATTATTATTATTATAATTATATTATATTATAGTAATTATTAGTATTATATTAATTCTGATACAATGATTATTAGAGTATTGGTCATATCTGATACAATGAGACTTACATGTCATTTGTTCTTTTAATATTACCATAACTAAGTAAAATAAACACTTGAGGTTATTGCAGACAGACAATATTTATTTGGGTTCAGGCCAAAAAACACCAGGGTTAAGTTTAGACAATTACGATATATTTTTCTTATATTATTTATATCATATGACGAAATAATGAGCTATACGAGTATTATAAAAAAGGGCTTTGATTCGGTATTCTTTTCAATTCTTTTTAATGTTTTTGCTGCTATGCTGCTATGTGGCATTTTGACTTTAATGTTATATATACATGTGTGCTAAATTGAGTACTGTCTGCATGCGTGCATAAAGTGAAGAAGCTTACTTTATAACTTATATCAATTCTTCACAGTTGGATAATTCAGATGCATACATTTTCTATACATGGTTTTATTTCTTTTGTAAAGGATGCTGAGAGTTTCTATTAAATTTCACACCATTTTTTTTTAATTAAAAAAACAAATGTACAATTTTTAAATATATTTGTAAAAAATAACTTCTAATATTTGGAATTCCTTTTAAAAAATAATAAATAGCATTGTTAACATCTTTCATATACTTATGGAAATCCTGTGTGTTAGAACTCTTAAGTTATATTAAATTTAATTTACTTTTTAAAAAAAAACCTGTCAATAATTTCTATATAGTAGCTTATCTTGATAGATAGTAGAATATTTTTCATAAGCTAATAAATTATAATTTCAATTATTTTTTTAAATATTTTAATACATATATGGTATTACTTTTTATCTAATTTATTGAACTATAAATTAGACTTGATTATTGTTTGAAATAAATCAAAATAGATTCCCGTATATTTAATATAAAAACAATATAGTGTCAAAACAAATTTATAGTATATAGATACTATACTAAAAATGAATGATAAATAATGTGGCAATTCTAGAAAGAATGATAGGAAAAATTTTCTGAACATGTCATAGCAATATTTTAATTAAGATATTTTTATTACGACAGGATAAAGTTAATAATTTATGTAAAATAAATTAAATGCATGTGACAAAATAAAGTAAAGTAAAATTATTAAATTTAGAAAGATAAGATTTATTTAAAATATTAATTATTATTATTATTTGTTTGTAAATAAATGTAGAAAAAGTTCTTACATATAGTAAATATAATTTAAAATATCTTTTAAAAAGTTTAGGCAGTTAAAAGTGAAAGATTTAGTTACTTAAAAAGATATAATATAGAAAGCCTGACTGTGCAATGCAACCAATAGTTCTTTTGTGATGCAAATGTTGGAGATAAATGCAGACATTAAGAATAATAAGAAGATCCTGCTATTGAACGGTGTCATAAGTTTCCATTTCAAGAACCCGAGTACTCACAAAAAATGTGATTAGATATCTAGATAAGACATCCATGAAGACACAGTACTCTGTTTGCTACTAACTTGTATTTCTTTGATGTTATAGAGTATAATTTATAGTTATTAAAATATTGAGGCGCTATGCCTCAATGGAATTCAAAAAGTTCATTAGTATATTTAAAAAATAACAAGAATAAATAATGAATAAAATTATATATAAAAAAGGGGAAATATTACTTTTAAATAGTAATATTAAATATTATTATTTGAAATGTTCTGCAAATATTTTTATGCATTTTTTATATATAGTGAGTTATTAAAAAAAGTTAATTCTATATTTTATTTTTTAATTTCATTTACTAATAAAAATAAAAAAAAACAATTTACTTATTTCGTTTTATATTGAATTTTATAAAACTCATAAATTTAGTTCATGGCTTCTATACCATTAATTTTGATGCATAATTTTTACATGGTGGCGTATGAGTAACAAATTTGTTTATAAATATATTTTTGTACACGTTTTCCAATCTTACTAAAGTACGTTGATAATATATTAATATATGTTAATATAATAAAATTTAATGCTAAGTCAACATTTTTTATAGTGGATTTATCAATTTGACATAAATATTTTTAACATTTGTTAAGGTTAAAATTCGTTTCGCACTAAAATAAATTTTTTCGACTGCAAAATACAATTTAATTAAATTTTTTAATTTGCAATTTTTATTTATTTTATTTTATGTTAATATGTTTTATATAAATTTCACATAATTTGTTATAGTTCACAACACTTTTTTAATTTCAGCAGCAATTTTTTTCTAAATTTAAATTATTTAATTGCCGCAAAATTGGTTTCGTTTTTTGTACTTTTTTAATTTGTTAACAATTTTCTAATTTGCAATGTTGAAGCTATTAAGTCGTAATTGATAAAAATAAAATTACTTTATGAGAATGAAACTATGTTTATTGTTTAAAAAAAATAATTTGTTTTAGTTATTGTGTTTTACGACAAAACCGATTTCGCTGTTGACAGTTCGAGTTCGAGTCTTGCACTGACGAAAAAGTGTTCAGTTTTGTTTTAAATAAGAATCGAACGTGTTCTAAGTTTTTTGTTTAATTAATTTATTTTGTACTTAAGTTTCAAATATTTATTATATATGAACTATTTCATATATTTTAAGGAATTTATATAATGATTTAAAACATGACAAATTATCAATTGAATTTGAAATTGAAGCGCACTCACCTTTGAGCACTTAAAATGACTTGTCATTTCATGTTATTTGTATATAAATACATTAATACATACATATATATATATATATATCTCTTTTTGTTATATAGCTTTTTTGTAATAAAAATGAAATATATATATATATACATTTCATTTTTATTCGAAAAAAGATTTATAACTCAAAAGTTGTAGTTATCGAAAATCTATAATAGAAAAATTTTATTTTGAGTTTTTAAAAGGTTTCCATAATTTTATAAACCCTTAACTGTGAATTTCTTAGAAAATGCTTCAGTAAAATTTTATATCATTTAATATACAAATTTTTCTATTACAATTATCTTATAATTATTTTTATTAATAAAAAGATTTATAACTCAAAAGTTATAGTTATCGTAAATCTAATCTTGAAAAGTTGTATTTAAAATCTTCCAAGGGATTTATGACTTGTAGTTTTCAGAAAATATTTGGTAAAACAAATATATTCATATACATAATATATTATATATTTATATAAATAATATATTTTATATTTTTATATATAAAACATTATATAATTCAATATATATTTTAATTTCTATATATATTCTATTTTAAATAAATTTTCAAATTTAGAGACGATGTAGAGACGATATTGAGAACGGTGTTTCTTTTTTTTTTTGCAATTAGGAGGTCATCAACAAAAGATATTTTGGACTTTATTCCATAAATATAATAGAATAGAACTTTAAATGCTTTGCCCCACATATTCAAACTAATCTATCTTATCTATGATATGGTATTTATAGTTAGATTGTCGCCAGCAATATCTTTGTATTAATAATCTCATTTAATTAGAAATGACTGATTTGGGAGATTATAAGAAAAATAAGGGCTATAAGATTTGATGCAAGTTAAACCAAAACTCAAAAAACAGTTTCGAAGTTACCACGCCTGGATTTAGGATTATATTATATGATATTATATTATATTATATTATATTATATTATATTATATTATATTATATTATATTATATTATATTATATTATATTATATATTATATTATATTATATTATATTATATTATATTATATTAGCATAAACATTTTATAATGAAGAAAGATAGCAACGATTAGATTACACTATTTAAACGTTTCAGAACTACTAAACAATTTTTACCGTGTCAATGTCTTATGTTAATTTTATAAACACTCAAATGGTTTTATCTGCATATGTTATATACTCAACGTTAAAGGTTCAAATGCATTCCTACTATTCTGCCCTTGTACTGGTAACTGCGAGTACTCGGTTAACTCATTAAAAAATTAGTAGAATTTACATTTAAATATCTAATTATGGTGCGTATAACTAAAAGAATATTAAAAATTCTAGCTTCAAGTCCTGATAAGAAGTGAATGACTTTCGTTATCTTTATAGCAAAGTATATTAGGAGTTCTGCTTTTAAAAGTTAAGAAAATCTTTTTTTCCACTTATGTGTAAAACAATATCAGATCTTGTTAGCAAAGTAATATATTGACGTATTTTATTTTTATTATACATGAGTATATAATGAAAAGCAATAAATCTTAAAAAAACGTGATTTAGTTCTATATATTAAAGTTAAAATACATGAATTTAAACTCAAATAAAATAAAATCCGTAATTGTTGATTTTATAAATTATTTTAATTTTAAGTTGATGTTTAGATAAGGAGGTCTAAGGTTCTTAGTTAAATAAATATCCTATAGTAATTACGCGCGTAATGCATTATTATTTTTAAATATTTCAACAAATATAAATATAATGATACGGTAATTAATTCATGTTTCACGTAATGGATAATTAGAGGAAATTGATTTATAAGAAGATAATCTTGTTTATATAGACATTAACTTTGATGAAAGATTGATTTGACGAAAGCACATTAGAACTAAATTAACGTTTTAGTCCATTGAAACTGCAAGAGCATTATGTGGATTACCTACTCAACAATCAATCTCATTTAATTTCATAGTATCAGGCTTTCTTATACAACAGTACAATTTAAACCTACTCGTATGGTTCTTAATTACCTGGCAACATTAGTTCATCATTTACAGAAATCTTGCAAATAGTTTATTCGAAAATATTGATAATAAATACAGTAGCGCCATAGTGGTTTAAAAGTGACAAAATCTGCTTAGATATATTAATATCAATTGGAAAATATTCTTTTCCTTCTTTTTCCTTAGGATTAAATTTTGACTGTTACCATACCTACATTATACAATACTGTTTATAATATAGTGTTATTCGTATTACTTATTCGACACAAATGCAGGAAATACTTCATCGGTCCAATAAGATACGAAAATAAAATCTTATGGAGTGAAGAGATGAGGTGTGTATTTTCAATGTAAAATATTGTTCTTTAATTTGTTGCTTAAAATGTATACATTAAATGTAATACGCTCTCTAGGCTGATGTCATTTTTGGTATTTGCACTGGTTCCCAAATAAACAAAATTCTTTCACAACTTCTTTCGCAAGTTTTCAATAAAAAAATCTAGTATTTAAAACGAAGAAACAGTCTTGCCAACAGTTGTGTCTTTGAGCTATATAGGCAATGAGAATTAAAGCTCTTTCTTGACAAACAATATCACTCTTTGTAAGTCTTTTATGATGCTTGTCCTGCTGTATGGTAAAGAAGCTTGGACAATTACCAACAATGATGAAAAATCGTCAGGAACATTCGAGAGAAATATTCTTCGAAAGATCTGTGGTCTCTTACACGTTAGCAACGAGTATTAAATTGGATGCAACGATAAGTGTACAAGCTATATCGCGACATTGGCATACTGCATAAAAATTCAGCGCCATCGCTAACTTAACCATGTCGGTACACGCTGTAGAGTAAAACTCGGTAGAGAACGTGCGCATTCCCTACCGCGGAAGAATTAGAAGAATTAGGCAACCAGTGTCATAAATGCAATCGTCCTCTATCACGGAACGAAGAAGAATTAGGTGACGAATGACATAAAAATAATTGTCCTCTATCACGGAACGAAGAAGAATTAGTTGACGAATGACATAAAAATAATTGTCCCCTATCGCGGAACGAAGAAGAATAAGATAACGAATAACACAGAAGTAATCGTCCACTATCAAGGAACGAAAAAGAATTAGGTAACCAATGACACAAAAGTAATCGTCCTCTATTGCAAAACGAAGAAGAATTAGGTGACGACTGACGAATGACATCGATACTACCAAATGACCACAGCAAGTCACTGAACAGGCTGGCTGAAGGAGGCTACTAGATGCGGCCAAGGACGACTCATATCTGTAATGGCTAACTACAGTAAATATGATTTTTAAAATCACAAATAAATAAAAATTAATGAATTACAAAAATTAGTCATTTAAAATGTGTCAAAATAAATATATCAAAAACAATAAATTGTTTGTACAATACCTATCTGGTGTTAACTGCGTCAAAACGTTCTAATTTAAAAATGGTTTTTTAACACTTAATTACTTGGAATTATTAATAATAATCTAAATTGATAAAATTGTTGTGTTACGTAGTTAAGGCAATAATGCTATATCTCTTGTTCTTTATTATAATCACCTTTAAACGACCCTTTTCAAATAATTTCCCATATTTATTCTATGTTATAATATTTTATTTTATTTTATTTTATTTGCTATCTACAACAAATATACTTCAAATTAAAATCACATAATATAATTTATAGAAATAAGCATATTTCAATTTAATTACAAATAAAACCAAAATAAGATAAAAACCCAATTAGACGTAAATAGTGACTAGTGACTGAGACACACCGCCATGCATCAGCCAATCGGAGCGCGGATAAACCGCATTTTTGAAAAAACAAAAACAAAAAAAATCAAAAAACAAAACTAAAAAATACTAGCTGAATTAGCTTTACAGTTATAGAGTATAAATTCTGCACGTGTTGTTTGTTTACTATTCGTTGTTGTTGCTTACTATTCGTTGTTGTTGTTTACTACTCGTTCCATGAAATAAACTTATGCAAGCTTACTAAAATCGCTGTGTGGAAGTACAACAAAATGCATTCCCTTGTTCCACTATGAGTTACTTTGTGGAACTTAATTTGAAATGACCTTGAAGTTGAGCATATAAACGTGTGTGAACGATATATATTACAATTATTTTAGTTATGCATTAAATCAATTTGTTTAAACTGGTTTTAATAGTTTTCTCTACTGTTTTAATAAATTAAAAAAAAAACAAAAAAAAGAAAATATGCAAATTTTATTTATTTTATTTTTCATTTCTAAGTAGATTGTACTTTTAATGTCAATGGCAATAAAATGTAAGTATTTTTGTTTAATCAAGATTTCATGATAAGACAATTGCACGATTCAGTTTAAGTATTTTTATTTGTACTTAATTTACACATTAAAGGAATGGGGAAATACAATTAATATAAGTACAATAATATATGTTTAATTGAAAAGTGTAGTATACAAGCAGCTGACATAGAGATCTGAATAGATTTCTAATAAACGTGCATTCTTGCAGGTGTTTCCGTAACATTATCTTTAAAGTATTTATCCATGCTGTACTAGTGCAATATTATTAATGTGGTGTTTATATAATTTCTTCATTTCTTATAAATTTTATATATTATATATAAAGATTTATACATTCACTAATTAGTGACAAGACATTCACGCTGACAGATAATATTTTGCAAAAACGGAAATTTTAAATATGCAGAAACCATTTTTTTTTATTTTGACATGCATTAATTAAATTAATTAACAATATTTTTATTTTATTTATATGTCTATCTCACACTGCTG